TCCTCTATGTACCTCTTGTACCTCATTTCGCACTTAGGCCTTGCAGGAGAATTTGCATTCTTGCAGGTTATCAACAAATCCTGGCAAACAGCCACGGTGCCCCAGAGCTGGAAACAAGCACAATATTTCTCATCCCGAAACCAAAGGAGCCTGCAAAGTACCGTCCCATCTCTCTTCTCAGCTGCCTGAGAAGAGAGAAGATGGTACTCAACAGGCTCCGATGGAAAACGGGTCCCCCTCATGAACACCTGCACGGGTTCACAAGGGGTAAGAGCACTGCTCATAGCATTTCCACACTCTTAAGCACAATCTGCACCTCGCCCGCCGTGGTTGTCTTCCTTGACCGGGAGAATGCTTTTGAACTGGCAAGTCCGCTTGCCATTCAAGAGACCCTAATCCACAAAGGAGTCAAAGGCAGACTCTTGGCCTGGATAGCTGACTATTTTAAAAATAGGTTAGCAAATGTCAGATTTCAAGGCCACCTCTCACAGCACATGCCACTTGAAAATGGAACTCCTCAGGGAGGGGTTCTTAGTCCAGCCCTGTTTAATACCCTCATGTCCAACATACTCGACATTCACCTGCCAGAGGGATGCAAGATCATCTCTTATGCAGATGACTTGGCAATCATAGCCTCTGGCAATCACTGCCTAACTAGAGCTCAGCGTTGTCTAAACCTGGTGTCTGAAGAGTGTTGTAGGACGGGTCTAAAAATATCAGCAGCAAAATCCAAAGCAATGGCTCTGAGAACTAATGTCAGAAACAAAAAACTCACTATACAGGGTATGGATCTGGAATGGGTGAAGGATTATCTATACCTTGGTGTATGGATAGGACACACACTCACTTTCAAAAAGGAGATCCAATACCTGCTTGGCAGAACCAAGGAAAGACTGTCAGTCATGAAAGTCATGACAGGGAGACACATAGGAGCAGGACACAAAGTACTAAGATCATTCTATGTACATGCTGTCCGTCCTATCATTGACTATGCATCTGTCACCATTATTGCTTCCAGTACAACATTAAAAGAAAAACTGGAAACAATACAAAACGAAGCAGCCAGGATAATTCTAGGTGTACCTAAGTGGACAAAGGTCATCAACCTCCTCATGGAAGCTGATTTACCGTCCATGGACACCAGAATTGATCTAATGGCAGTACGGTTCTTTTCCAAGGTCTTCCAGGCACCCAGAAACTCTTCCTTAAGACAAAGAGTACTTCGACGCCTACAACAAGACTACCAGTTGTTTGCGGACAATTCCTGGCTCACATACACAACCAGAGTTTTGATACGCTTTCAGCTAAAAGATTCATTGCTTGCCAAGGGTATGGACTCCCCTCACCCTGATTACAAAGAACCCCCGCCGTGGGCAAACGAAATGATCGAATTCTCAATTCTAAATCTCACAATGAGAAAAGATCAATATTCCATGCCTAGCCTAAAGGCACAAGCACAAAGGGTCATTGTTAAAATAACTCCGCCGGGTAGTATAACATACTACACGGACGGATCCGTGGATCCAATAAACCATACTGCAGGCGCCGGCTTTGCAACAAAGGATACCACAGCATCCATTAGGGTCACTGATAATGCCTCAACGCTTCAGGCTGAAACATGTGCATAGCTCTAGTTGGCCCAAGGAGCCCAAAGGTCCATCATAAACTGGTCCAAGCCACATAGGCATACAAGGGAACGAGCTTGCTGATAAACTAGCCGAAAAGGGCAGGGGTATGCCCCCATCCTCCATGATCGTTAAACCCAGCCGAAGGGGACTAAGCCAAGGTACCAAAACTGCAGCGTGTGCGGTCCTCCGGGGAGCACATAGAGAAAACATCACAAAATCGCTCGCTGCCAAGTGGTACTCAGATGCTTCAGGCTATGAGCCACTGGCCCTTCCTCCAAACACAAAAAGAGGTACCGAAGTCATACTATTCAGACTAAGACTAGGTTACCAATGCGCTTGGCAAATTATTGACAATGAGACTGCCAGGTTATGCAAACACTGCGGCGAGCCTAACGCCACCCTGTTACATTACTTGAGGAATTGTGAACACACATTTTCTGAGGCAGGGACCACCCACCACAGCCGCCGGGGTGGTAAAAAGGGTTTGCCACATGCTTACTCCGTGGCAGCTGGATCGCTTGCTTGCAATCCAGCCACCGTGATAAGCATGAAGTTCCAAGAAAACATCTAACTAGAAATAGTTAACACAGGCCGGGCCACTCCAGAGAAAAGGTCCGGGCGAAGCATGGCCGCAAATCTAATTGAACTGAACTGAACCTCTTGCAGTATATGCCCTTACGAAGCAATAGTGAAAAGGCCTTCGGCATATTCGTGTGTTTTCTTGCCCTTCCCTTCGTTGTTCCTGTTGCACACACACACACGCGCACACACAAACACTCACAGACACACACACACAAATGAATCACTGCTTTTATCTCTCTATTTCACTCATACATCCAAAGATGAACTGAAGCCAAAACCACATATTTCAGGGCGGCTACGGCTACTCCTGCGAAAACTTCAAGTGCGACATAACGAACGATGTCCTGAAGACTATCTTCTACGCCATCCAGTCGCCTCTGCCGTGTGTCATGATGTTCACGGGATCCGTAGGACTCTTGTACCAGCTGCGGATGTATACCAAGGAGATGGAGAACATGAAAATGTAAGGAAAATACACACACGCAAGTATATGTGTGTGTGTGTGTGTGTGTATTTATGTATGTATGTATATGCATACACATACCTACACTTACACACACACACACACACACACACACACACACACACACACACACACACACACACATATATATATATATATATATATATATATATATATATATATATATATATATATATATATATATATATATATATATATATATATATATATATATATATATATATATATATATATATATATATATATATATATATATATATATATATATATATATATACATATGTATATATATATATATATATATATATATATATATAATATATATATATATATATATATATATATATATATATACAGGGATTTTTATTTTCTGAAATACCTGTATAATGTATAATGTTTCTTTTTAAATAATTTCTTCCTTCTTTTTTCTCTCAGATTTCTTGAAAACATCTTAAATAAATCTTTAAATGGACGTTTAAACTACTGCAATAGTTTGTCATTATAAATTAGGTCCTTAGAGGAATGTCTTATTTATTACCTCAGTCAAGGAGGTTATGTTTTTTGATAGCGTTGTTTAGTTTGTTCGCTGCTTAGATATCTAAAAAAAAATATGAGCAGATTTTTATTAGATTTCTACCAGAGGTTTGTCTTGCATGATGTGAGGGGCGTGAAAAGAGAGAAAACACCCCATCAACATACAAGTTTTTTCCAGACGATCTTCTTCATCTTCCTCCTCCTCGTTGTCGTCTTCCCTCCTCCCCCTTCCTCTTTCTCCCTCCTCCTCCACCACCAACTCCTCCTCCTCCTCTCCTCCTCCTTCTCCCTCCTCTACCACCACCTCTTCCTTCTATTACTACTACTACTACTACTCCTACTCCTCCTCCTCCTCTTCCTCTTTCTTCTTCTCCTTTTCCTCCTCCCTCCTCCTTCCTTGTCCTCCTCCCCTCCTCCTCCTCCTCGTCATCGTCCTCCTCTTCCTTCCTCCTTCCTCCTCTTTCCTTCTTCCCAGTACCCATCCTAACGTGTCTGGTACCTGCAACGGTGGTCAACAACCACTAGAGAGAGAAAAATCCATGTACATACTTACATACATACATACATACATACATACATTGCCATTCAAGCAAATACACCCAGACAGGGAAATGTCATGGGGAAGTGTGTCACGAATTTATCAAAGGGGTCGCAGTCAAAAAAGTTTGAGAGAACCCCCGCTGTGGCTTATCGTTATCTAAATCGTGTTTGTCTCAAATATCATAATATCTCTTTCATCGACCTGCAACTTATAGAAGCTATTCTTACCTGTTATTCCAATGTACAGTAACGGAAAGCATTTTCGTCTTGATAAGCAGGATTTTTTTTCTGTACTAGTCAGTGATATATGCGTGCTTTGAAAAGTTGTGCTGACTGCTTGGTTTACAATAAGGACAGAATAATGCTGCTCGTAATATATATTCATACATCATATATATATATATATATATATATATATATATATAATATATATATATATATATATATATATATATATATAGGTAGGTAGGTAGATAGAGAGAGAGAGAGAGAGAGAGAGAGAGAGAGAGAGAGAGAATGAGAGAGAGAGAGAAAGAAAGAAAGAGAGAGAGAGAGATGGATAGGCGGGCACATAGATATGTAGGTAGGTAAGTAGACAGATAGATATTTAGACACTTTGAGAATTTCAGAACTTTAAAATCATCGTTTCAGGATCTCCAACCTGCCGAGGAAGCGTCTGGTGAAGTCCTCCCTCCTCGTGCTATCCCTCCTGCTCCTCTTCCTCGTCTGCGTGGTCCCCATCTGCATCCACAACCTCATCCTGAAGGACGTCGTCAGCCCGGAAGTCCACATCCCCGCCGGGTTACTCTTGTACAAGGTCTACTACCTACAATACGCGATTAACTTCATCCTGTACAACATCATGAGTGCCAACTTCAGGAGAGCCTATCGCCGTTTCTTCAGCCTGTTCTTCCCTTCTTGCCGTTCTCCTGTTGGCGGCTTGAGCTCCATATACAGTGTTACACTCTCGCCACACAGTGACTCACAGAGGAAAACCCAGGCAGTTTGTATCCAGCGTGATTCTGCTAGCATGTCTAAAAGGTTTTAGATAGTGTATTTATTGTTTTTTTTTTTTTATCTACTGTAAATATATGTAAATGCATATGTGCGTGTGTTTGTGTATGTGAATATATGTGTTTAAACAAATAAACCTTTCGTAGATAATCATTATGATTTACTCCATTTGTTATCACTTTTTTTCTATATTGACGTTCCTTTAGAAATAAAGATGCATTAAAAACGTTTCCATTCACCTTTGCAATTAGAACCAACGCATCCTTTAAATACTGGATCAAAAATACTCGATATATATATATATATATATATATATATATATATATATATATATATATATATATATATATATATATATATATATATATATATATATATATATATATATATATATATATATATATATATATATATATATATATATATATATATATATATATAATATATATATATTATATATTATATATATATATATATATATATATATATATATATATATATATATATATATATATATATATATATATATATAGTATATTATATATATATATATATATATATATATATATATATATATAATATATTATGTATGTATGTATAAATGGATGTATGTATGTATATATGTATATTCATGGGTCTAGGTGTGTGTGCAGTATACAACCGCCTATGTCTGGATTCCAGCAACCGAGATCTGTTAAGCCTCATTACTTATACATTCATATCTCTGTACCTTAATTTATTTGAATGTGTTTGATTTCCTCCCTTAAGCATGTATTTCACTCTCATTTAAAAGTAAAAGACTTTGTTTATGATTTAGCGATAGTTTATTTACGTGAGAAATGTCTTTAAAATAAATATATTTCTAATTAATCTTCTTTCTGATGTAGTAAGTACAAAGAAATTAGATTTGTTTAGCTCACTTATCGGTAAATACCCCTTATCATTTATAATTATCGTTATGTTCACATTATCATAATTTGCACCGTAGTTACGATAATCCTAATTATTATCATTATTACTATAATCCTTTTAGGGTCATTGTCTTATCGTTAGCTGATATAATAATTATCGTTATAATTGGTAATTGCAATTATTATTCAATTACTTCTACTATGATAATAACAGTAATATTGATACTAATGGTAAGGATGATATTAAGGATTATAAGAATAACAATACCAACACTAATAAGTATTATCATTATTATCATCATCATTATTATCATGATTTTAACTATATCTGTTGTTACAAATGCAATTATAACCACTATTATAATCACTTCAATAACAATATAAATGATGATGATGATGATGATGATGATGACAACAATAATAATAATAATGATAATACTAATAATAATGATAGTAATAATAATAATAATAATAATAATAATATAATAATAATAATTAATAATAATTATAATAATAATGATGATGATAATAATAATAATAATAATAATAATAATAATAATAATAATAATAATAATAATAATAATAATAATAATAATAATAATAATAATAATAATAATAATAATAATATAATAATTAATAATAATAATAATAATATATAATAATAATAATGATGATGATATGATAATAATAATAATAATAATAATAATAATAATATATAATAATAATAATAATAATAATATAATAATATAATAATAATGAATAAACAAAAATAATGATAAAGATGATAGAGATAATAAAAATGAGGAGGAGGAGGACAATGTTAATAATAATGATTTGGATAATGATAATAATGATAACGACAACAAGGATAATTATAATTATTATCATCCTTATTATAATCATGATAATGGATAGTAATGCTTATAAGACTGATGAAGTTAATAGAAGGGTAAGTAGCATGATTGAAATGATAACTGAAACAACATTAAATGATAAGAACAACGATAATAACAATAACATTGATGATGATAATAACGATGATAATAAGAATAATGGCAAAACAACATCAGTAATAATGATAATAATAATGACAATAATTCTAATAATAATAATATCAACAATACTGATAATAATAATGATAATAATGATAATAATAACAACAACAAAACAACAATAATAATAATAATAATAATAATAATGATAACAATAATTATCCTAATCCTCATTATAAAAATCATAATGATAATATTAATAATTATGATAATGGTGATTTACTACTACTACTACAAGTGATTTTGTGATCTTCGTGAAGGCCAAAGATTAAGTTCTGCTTCCAAGGCTTAAAATCCAGTCATTTCTCAAGTTAAAGAAGAAGAACAACATAAAAAACCTTCGCAGGATATGTGATGTTCCTAGCCATCTCACCCTCATGATTTCTTTGGTACTAAATATCCCTGGAATACTTGATACGTGGCATTTCATCCGCACTTCATATAGGCTTCGACTGAGGACTTCGGGAACAATACTCGGTCTGAAGTTCCACATTTTGGTAACTTCTCTTTCAGTTTTTGTATTTTGATTGACTATGCTTGCTTGCTTGTTTGTGACATGTTGCTTAGATGATACAGATAAGTGAAGATATATTTGTTTTCTTTTGTTTGTCTTTGGTCATGATATCGGACCTTGATATTGGTAGAAATCTCTTTGTTGGTATCTATTGGTAGAGTCCAGAGTATGATGAACATATTTCCCTTTAATGGCGCTTTTTTACTGGTGTTCTAGAGCAAGAAATCCAAACTAGAGGAACCATGGGACACTTTAAGCGTACTATGGAGCCACGTGAAAATTATGACTTCGAATTAAACTACAGTACAGTCCTTACGTATCTCTCCTTGGTGAACTTGTCATAGAGCTATTGGCACCATTACACTATTAATCACTAGTAATAGCTCAATATGAAAAAAAGGACAGACACTGCACGAGGCCAAGAAGAATTATCATTTATTGGTCGGGGGTCACAACAGAGAAAGAGTTAGGAACCGCTGACCTTCAGGTTACGGTGATATCAGAGTGTTTACATATTTTCTAGCGTATGCAGAGTCGTGTTTGGTCGGGCCTTTATAACTATGCTTTATTTTATTATTTTTTCCATCCTTTTTGCCAGAGCTAGACATCCTGACGTGATGTGTTCTATGGTTTCATCATATTCGTGACATGACATATATTTGTGTGTCCATTTATTTGTCGATTTCCATCTATTCTTATATATATGGGATATGAGGATAAAACATAATATGTGGAAAGGGGGGAGGGGAAAAGGCAAACCACAAGAATGAAAGAAGGGAAGAGGGTACAAAGAGAGAGAGAGAGGTGAGGAAGAGGGACACAGTGGGAGGGGGAGGGAGGGAGGAGGGGCGAGGAGAGAGAGGGAGAGAGGGTAGGTCAAGGAGAGAGAGGGAGCGAGGGAGTAGGGGTGGGAGAGGGAGGGAGGAGGGGCCTAGAGGAGGAGGTAGGAAGGGCAGGGAGGGGAGAGAAGGGAGAGAGGAAGGATATATATAGAGAAGGAAGAAGGAATGGGGAAAACAGAGAAGTAAGGGAGGGACAGAGGGAAGCGGGGGTAGAGAGAGAGAGAGAGAGAGAGAGAGATCAGCGAACGAGGGAGGAAGGGTTCAGAGAGAAAACGAAGGAAGAAGAAAGATGAGCAAAGAAAAAAAAAACGAAAGAGGAAGGGATAGACGAAGAAAGACGGAGAGAATTTAAGAGAAAGACACTGAACACTGTATCTGTTATTTTTCCACGGTGAAAATATCCTGTAATTAAACCAAAAGAAGAAATGTAAATCCCAAAATGTACAAGGTTTTCAGCTAAATGCTTTCCCTATAGATGGAACAGAAACGATAACCCTCAAAGGTACGTTCACGCTGATAAACATTTCCTCTCCCTTTTCTTCAATCTATAAATACCAACGAATGAAAGAGTGAGAAAAAAAAAAAAAAAAAAAAAAAAACATTTGCACATCCTTGGCAATGACCCGCTCCCCCAGCGCGTAGGTGCCAATTAGTATATTTACCAAGATGAGAAACCACGCTGACAGATGAACGATTCGTGATTTTTCTTTTTCTTTTCTTCACACCAAACTGTCCATCTCTCTTGTGATTTATACGCAATTTACGTTCGCTCGCTGACTTGCTGGTTTCTGCGCGGTATGATTTACCCCCTGGAGTCGGGAATTCCCCTTTCTGTGAAATACCGACTTATTGAAGCGCTGTTTTGGCCTCGAGAGGTCAGTCAACAAGCAGCGGCTAACCAATCATGAACACCTCTCGCTTCTCTCTCCCTTTCTTTCTTTCTTGCTTTCTTTTCTCTCTTCTCTCTCTCTCTCTCTCTCTCTCTCTCTGTCTATCTATCTATCTATCTATCTGTCTGTCTTTTTCTCTCTCTATCTGTCTTTCTCTTTCTCTCTCTCTATCTATATCTGTCTTTTTTCTCTCTCTCTATCTACCTTTCTCTCTCTCTCTCTCTCTCTCTCTCTCTCTCTCTCTCTCTCTCTGTGTCTATCTATCTATCTCTCTCTTTCTTGACGCTTGTTACAACCTACAAAATATACATATATAACTTCAAAACGGTGTTTTTGTTTGTCTCCTTTATTATTGTAGTTATCGGTTTCATGTTTGTTGTTAACATTACCATTATTATTGTCAACATTAGTGTTAGTATTATTATATTTGTTATTGTTATTATGATTAACATCATTTTCATTACTGTTATCATTAATATTTTGGCATTATCATAATCAGCATTCTTATTATTATTATCATTATCATTATTATTTATTATAATTATCATTATCATTATCATTATCATCATCATTACTATTATAATCATTGTTACTATTATTATTATTTTTATCATTATTATCATTATGTTACCATCACTATTTGTTATTACTAGCAGCAGTTGTAGTAATATTAGTAGTATCGTCATAATTTTGATTAAGTAATGTGTTAGATTTCTTTTCTTTTCTTTCTTTATTTTATTTTATTATTTTTTTTTCTTTTCTTTTCTTTTCAACTCGGATTATGTGTACATGTAACTAAGCGGAAAATAATGTGTAGGGATGGTGACGTAGCAGAGTGTAGTAATCATTCCCTTTCGTCTTTTTTTCTTGTTTTCTTCATCAGTGACGTTTCTCGGATATTTCTCTTACTCACTGCATTCTCATTTTCATATTTTTCCGCGTATTTCCCGTTTACTTTCAAATTTGTTTTTTATATATATATATATATTAGTTATGTGTCGTATCCTGG